TTTTTTTAATTTCCCTCTAACCTCTCCATACACCGTATTTTCGTTTTCCTTCTGTTCCTGATCCAACCACGGGTATAGCTATTCTTATGACGGAGCTTCTTCTCCATTGCATTTCCTCGCCGTTGTCATCGCCTCTTCCTTGCAGCTACTTTTGATATAATTTGCAGCTTATAATCTTTAGGACGCGCGCCGAACATTGGCTCGTCTACATTAAAGCGCCAAATGAACAAGAATGGAATTGAAAATCATATGATGCCTATGTGGATTAAATCAAACTCTAAACTTTCCTGTTTGTTTTGGTAGATAGTTTTGTTTTCAGATATGGACAGACATGACATACAAGCATCCTCACTAGCTTTGAAGTAAACTTTCCCGGTATTTAATTATGAACACCCATGAAATAGAGTCGTACTTGATCTTTTGATATCAAAAACAGAAACAGTTTCACACGTAGAGAAAATGGTTGCCGCTTGTGAAAGTAAAGTCACAGAGACGACTCCAATTCAAATTTGTTATACTACCGAGCCACTAGAGTACCTCTAAAGCTTGTATATAGTAGTGGGAGATACTACATAGAAACAGACTGCAAACATCGGAAGATACGATAAGCCGTTGGCTTTACATTGATCAGTCTCAAAATTCATTAGCAATCGCTTGCCCTACGACAATAAAGAAGTTAGGCGTAAAAAATGTTGAGCGGCCCACTACACCGAAAATGCTTTGGACTGTAGAAGCACCAATGGGTGAAGACGGTATAAAAGAATCAGCGACTTTGTTTTAAATGAAAGATATCAAAAAGCCTATGCAAGATGTAGGCATGAATGTGCAACAGATGAGAAATAAAACATAATTCAAAAATGATATTTTTGTTTCACGTAATGCATACCTGGATAAACGCTCCAAACGACTGTATGCTTATTACTCTGCCACTGTAGATATTTCCGACTTCAGGAACATCAGGTAGATCTTTCAAATCATGGTCGCGGTCCTTTCTCTTCCAACCTCTGTCTGAACGTTTGCCATCCTGATCTCTGTGACTGCGATCTCTGCTATCTTTATAATCGTCATACTGCCTTCCTCTGCTTCGATCTCTGCCAATCTGTTTCCTCCTTTCTTTTTCTTCCTCTTCCCGGGAATACGATCTGAATGATATGTGGTATATTCAAAAATCTAGATGTCGAAAATTTGGTGAAATCTTATAGGGAGTTCTTGCTGCAGTGTTACTGGAAATATGTAGTTGGTCACATTTAGAAAACTTAATGAATTGGCATCCGCAAGCATTTAATGTTAAAATTACTTCGAACTGCATTGCGACCTCTTGACTTCGCTCCCTACGTCTAACCAAGTTCCTGGTACTTTCGTTTAACTTACGGTATTTCTGTGTTCGCCTTCAAATCAAGAATAAAACAGGCTATT